AGTTAGATGCTAACTCCTGGCAATGGGCAAAGAGACACCTTGGTGGTGGTAGTGTTTTTCTATCAGCCAAGGGCAGAGCAGATTGCAGTCCTTTGTTCATCCTAGCTTGATGCCTGACTTGGTGGCCAAAGCTGTTTCATGCCTAGGGCACATTAAAAAAAAGTGTTAGGTGCCAAGAGTAAGAATCCAGGAAATTTAGAGCCACTAATCCAAGTATCTATGGCACCTGAACAGCTGTAACAGAAATACCAATTAAAATAATTGATCAAAGGCAGGGCATGATGGTACATGCCTTTAATCCCAACACTAGGGAGGCAGAAGCAGGTGGATCTCTGGGAGTTGAGGCCAGCCTTGTCTACAGAGTGAGTTCCAGGACTACACAGAGAAACCCTGTCTCAATAAGAAAAAATAATAATTGGTTGCTCTTCCACACATCCACCTAATCACTGGCTGCTCTTCCAGAGGACCTGGATTCAATTCCCAGAACCCATATGGTGGCCATAACCATGTAAAACCCATGTTCCAGGGCATCTGATGTCCTTTTCTGACACTGCATGTATATGGTGCACAGACATACATATAGTCAAAACACCCACACACATTAAATTAAACTAAATTAAAGTAGTAGTTAGTGAAATTTCTCAGAGGCAATCTATGCATGGGCTTCAGTTACCATCTTTAATACCTTGATACTACTGCTTGTATTTATGCTCTACTACTTCATGTCTCTAGGTCACAATTTCTGCACTATGACTGGCCAGATTGCTCCAGGACCCTGGTTTGTCTTTTGCATCCTAGAATTACATGCAGACTGACACATCCACCTAACATTTACAGGGTTTCTGGAGATCTGAACTCTGGAAATGCAGACTTGGTGTGCTGGTACAAATAATCCTACACCTAGGGAGGCTAAGGCAAGAGGATCATGAGTTTAAGGCTAGGGTGGTTTACACAGTTAGACCACCTCTAAATAAATACACTTAAAAATCGTATCCTATTGAGTTGAACTGACCATCTGGATCTTTGTTCTTGTTCAGTACATCTAGGTTTACAGGATTAACCACGATTTAGATTTTATCATCTTTATTACTATAAATGGAAACAAATACTTGGAATTTACTACTTCAGTCTGAACTGCATTATCATAAGGATCCAAATTAGAAGACCGTTTGTTTTGTTTTGTTTTTTGAGACAGGGTTTCTCTGTATTGCTTTGGAGCCTGTCCTGGAACTCACTCTGTAGACCAGGCTGGTCTTGAACTCACAGAGATCCACCTGCCTCTGCCTCCAGAGTGCTGGGACTAAAGGAGTGCCCCACCAACGCCCAGCTAGAAGGCATTTTAAAAATACAGTTAAAAAATGACAGGACAGCATTCCGACGACCGACCCGGGAACTAGAGCCCCCACCCAGTGGCTGATGGAAGCAGAGACAGACATCCACAGATATACACTGAGCCGAAACCGGGAATTTAGTTGAAGAGAGGGAGGAATGAAGAATGAAGGGGTCTGTACCAGGTTGGAGAAACCCACAGGAACAGTTGACCTGAACAAGGGAGAGCACATGGGCCCCAGAGGCTGTTGGGGAGGCCAGTACAAGACTGATCCAGACCCCTGAACATGGATGTCAATATGGAAGCCTCTGTACTCCAGGAAGCCTCTGGTGGTGGATTAGTATTTTTCCCTGGTGCAAGATTGAAACAAGCTTGTTCCCTAACCAGAACTAATAAATAATTTTTTTAAAAAAGAAAAAAATGACAGGACAGCTTTTTGGAGTCAGTTCTCTCCTTCTGCTACATGGATCCCAGGGATCAAACTCTGGTTTTTGAGCTTGGAGACAAATAGCTTTACCCACTGATCCAAATCACCAATCCTAGAAAACCTTTTTTATAAAAACCTGGAAGCTACATAGTCATTGTATTATTTAGCCTTCTAAAAGAAAAGGATTCACAAATATATACCCAAGCACCTATTCTACATTAGCCATCACCTTCTGTTTGCCTGCTAAGTTATTTATTATTATATTGATTGCAGCATAACACCCATATTCATTGTTGTTTTCTTCCTGGAGAAGTAAGCCTGACAGTGACATCCTAGGATCAGCTCCTTATTGAATGAAGAAGGTAGAGCAAAGAGATAGCTGGCTTTTCCTCTTTAAAACATGAGGTTAATGTGTAGAAAGACATTCACATTTCAACAAAGAAAATGGCTGGCTAAAAGAAGCCAGACTACTGACTCAAGATATAACACAAAAAGTCCCACTAAGTCCTGAGTTCAGAATTTTTATTCAGATTAATCCAAAAGCACCTAAAGTCAAGAAAATATCCTCCCTCTGTAATAAGGACCCTCCCAGGATCCAGAAGACGCACTCGGCTTCCCCAGGCCAGAGGTGAGCTGGGGCTGTGGGGCTCGCACTACCATCTTCACTCTGACATGGTAGCTCTTTTCCATATCCAGGAATCAGCAGTAGGCAGCTCCTACCCATTGTGAGTTAATGAGTTAGTTAATTAATTTGAAATCTGTAATTATTTTTGTTTATCGTGTGTGTGTGTGTGTGTGTGTGTGTGTGTGTGTGTGTGTGTGTGTGTGTGTGTATGCTACAGTGCTTGTGTGGAAGTTAGGATACAATTTACAGGAGTCAAATCTCTCCTACCTCGTGGGTTCCAGGAATTGAACTCAGGTCATCAGGCTTGGCAGCAAGCACCTTTACCTGCTGAACCATCCTGCTTTCTTTCCTTCTTTCATGAGACAGACTCTGTGATCCCCCTGACTATGGGGATAGCTACCACACACAGTCCTTACTTTTTTTCTTTTTCTCAGTTCACTATTGAGATCCGCTACATAGAGACAAGATTCTTTTCTATTTTATTTATTTATTGTTTTTCTTTGAGATAGAGTTTCACTGTGTAGTCCTGACTGTCCTGGAACTTGCTCTATAGACCAGGTTGGCCTTGAACTCACAGAGATCCACCTGCCTCTGCCTCCTGAGTGCTGAGATTAAAGGTATACATCACCACTGCCACCAAGCTGTCCTTTCTCTTTTTTAAGCAAACATACTTTGATAGTTATTTCTATTCTAGAATTCAAATTTAAGGTATAGGAAAAATATGGACAGATATAAGGTACAATGATGCAATATTTGTACTGAAGTTTTTATAACTATCTGCTAGGCCATGGTGGTGCACGCCTTTAGTCCCAGGGCTTGGGAGGCAGAGGTAAGTGGATCTCTGAGTTCGAGGCCAGCCTGGCCTACAGGGCAAGTTCTAGGACAGGCTCCAAAGCTACACAGAGAAACCCTGTCTTGAACCCAACCCCCCCCCCCCCCCCCCGCAAAAGAATAATCAATCTAACAAAGGTTGGATTATTGTATAGTCTTTAATATGTTTGCAAAGAATATAATAATAAAGAAAAACTCCATTAAAACAGCCTATAACTGCTGAGTTCACTTCTCTGATGCATTAAGTCCACAGAAAATGTGTAGAAACATTGGAGGCTGTCTTGGAACTCACTCTGTAGACCAGGCTGGCCTCGAACTCACAGAGATCCACCTGTCTCCGCCTCCTGACTGCTGGGATTAAAAGGTGTGTGCCACTACCACCTGGCAAAAAGCATAGCCACCGCCATACACCTCCTGCTTAATTCTTTTTTAAAAAATTTATTCATCTCTATGTGCATTGGTGTTTTGTCATGAGTGTTGGGTGCCTTGAAACTGGAGTTCCAGACAGTGAGAGCTGCCATGTGGTGGCTGGGAGTTGAACCTGGGTCCTCTGGAAGAGCAATCAGTGCTCTTAACCACTGAACCATTTCTCCAGCCCCCAAGGTTTCTTAATAAACACCTCTGGGTCAGTGAGATTATCTGTGATTTTTAACTAGGGCATACTATTTTTCTTCTTCCAAGGTTTTAGAAAAATAAAATCAAGAGAAAATTCAATTGCAGGCAGTTGCCTCTGTGGGCCACTAGATGGGAATATAGATTGAAGAATGTGGAGATACTGTTCTTAATTAAAGAAAAAGTGGGGTAGAAATTCAGATGATTCGAACAAGGAATTTGGAGATGTCGTTAGATAATTTTACACACCATCACTTGTAAACTGCCTCTTCTGTCCAAACATTTACAGTTTCTGCAATGCTTGAGATTCGAGAAGGAACATTTACCATGTGGTCAATGTTAACTTGGGCAATACCTTTTAGACTCCTCTCCAAAACTCTTCATTGACAATTTCTTGTGATAACTTTGCCACAACACAATAGCAAAGCTGTGCTATACGCAAATTTTATTTATGAAAATTCATATACTAACATAAAAATTGTTAGGCATGAAATTAGAAGTAATAAAATCTTCTCCAATTGAGGACTAAAAAACTCCACCTGGGTGATGTTGGTGCATACCTTTGATCCCAGCACTCATGAGGCAGAGGCAGATGGATCTCTGAGTTCCAAGACAGGCTGGTCTACAGAGTGAGTTCTAAGACAGCTAGTGATGTACAGAGAAACCATGCCTCAAAAAAAAAGGAAAAAAATGAGTTAAAAGAAAACTAAAAAAAACCACACACACAAACTGCCAAGCGTTGGTGACACACACCTTTAATCCCAGCACTCGGGAGGCAGAGGCAGGGGGATCTCTGTGAGTTCGAGGGCCGCCTGGTCTCCCCAGGGGGGGCCCGGGGAGGGCCCAAAACCCCACAGAAAAACCCCGTTTTTAAAAACCAAAAAAAAAAAAACCCACAAACTTAATCTCCAAATCAGGACCTAAAGGAAAAACAAACTATTGCACATAGTAACTCCACTGAGGCTGGTAAACATGAATACCTTTGTACTTCATCAGTATCCTATGACTTGTGTACCTTGTTACTTCTGGGAATGATTGTGGTGGTACTTTTTAGTATTATAATTACTATAGAAAAGATTTTAAACAGTGTGATCCTAGATTAAAAGCAAAAGTTTGTGCAGAAGCAAAACAAAATGCATGAGGCAGAGACTGTAGCTCTGGTAGAGAGAGCTTACCTTGCATGCATGAGGCTCCAGGATCAATTCCCAGCACCACAGAAAAGATTTATAAACATCGGTGTCAATTCTTCCTCATCCTGAGTGACACAGAACTAAAAATTAGCTTTGTCAAATGCCAGGATTACAAGCTCTGAAAGTTAAATTTTAAGCACAGACCTTCAATGGTTAAAAGATTTTGGAAAACAAAGTAGTAAGTGGCTTTGAGAAAAAAAAACCAAGCTGTAAGGTAATATTACTGATGATAATTTCTTTTTAAAATTCTACCCAGAGGGAGAAGGGGGGTGATGGTAATTGATGTTAGCGTACCATGCACGCTTCTGGCTATGGAACATGTCTAAGGACTGAGTCAATTCCACATACATCTGTGAAGGGGTGCTATGCCAGAGAAAGACAAGTCCTTCTCCTGAGAGGCACCTAGTCAAGAGGCAACCTGACAGAATTGATTAGCACATGCAGTATCAACTCCCTAGGAATAAGGGACCTGAGGACAGCTGCAAGCAGAAGTTATTGACTTGTGTTAGGCATTTTAAAGGGCAGATATGAGAAACTTATTTGTACGCTAAGAATATTTTTTCAAGGTTGTAGAGCTGGTCAGTGCAGCTATTCAAAGATCCAAAGCAGCAGGGTGTTTCTCCTCTTCCCTCTTGCAGATAAGGACAACTTTCACAGCCCTTTCACTTTCACTGATTAACAGGTACCGAACTGTTGCTGTTAAGTAAACTTGACTTTTTATGTGTGTCCCATACATACAAGTATTTTTTTGTAATTTTTGTTTTGAAATTGGAGTTTTCCATTTAATTAACAACTATGAATTGAATGTCTGTTACTGTCTATGTAACAGTAAATTAGATTAAGCTCAATTGCCTAAAATGTGATTTGAAAAATACACACATGAATAGTTTGAACTATAAGCAATCGAAGATGTTAGGTGTTATCACCTGCTGCTATATTTTTAAAGGATAAATGTTGCTTTAAGAAGTAATTATAGGCCTGGAGGTGATGGGGCACTTCTTTAATCCCACCTCTTGGGAGGCAGAGGCAGGCAAATCTCTGTGAGTTATAGGTCAGCCTGGTGGTCTACAGATTGAGTTCCAGAACAGCCAGGCCAACACGGAGATACTTTGTCTCAACCTTCCCCCACAAAACACACACATACAAAAGTAGTTATAGGAGCTAGAGTGACAGTTCAGGGGTTAGGAGACTTTCCTGCTCTTCTAGAGAGCAGAGCTGGTTCCCAGTACCTGAATTGGACAGTTCCCAACCACCTGTGACTCCAGTTACAGTGGCTCTAATGCCTGCTCCTGCTCTCTGTACTCACACAGGCATGTACCTATACACAAACACAAAAATTAAAAATTCTTTAAAAAACGGTAATTATAATTAGGAGTAGACTATGGAAGCTGTCTTAGTTAGAATTTCTATTGCTGTGATAAAATGTCTTTGTCCAAAAGGGCAACTTGGAGAGGAAAGGATTTATTTCATCTTCCAGCTCTCAGGTCACAGTCCTTCATAGGGGAGGGGGGAGAGTTGGGAGGGTAGAAGGAAATCAGGGCAGGAACATGGAGGCAGTCCCTGCAGCAGAAGCCATGGAGGAGTGCTCCCTGGCACTCCTCAGCTTACTCCCTCAGGAACACATGCCCAGCAATGGCACCACGAACAGTGAGCTGGACCCTTCTACATCTATCATTAATCAAGACAATGACTTCATGGACTTGCCTACAAGCTAATCTGATGGCAGCATTTTCCTCAAATGAAGTTCCCTCCTCTCAGATGACTCTAGCTTGTGTCAAGGTGACAAAAACTAGCCAGGACAGATGTGATAGTTGACATTTTTAAAGATAAAACTGTTTTATTTTGTGTGTTATATTTGAAAGGCTTTAAGAAATCTATTTTCCTGTTTAAAAAAAAATTCATTAACTTTAAACAATCTAAGCAACAGAAGAGAGGCTACCTTAAATGCCCTCCCCTGATAATGAGATTGATGACTGACTTGTATGCCACTCAATAGCCTTCATCCAGCAGCTGGTGGAAGTAGAAGCAGACACCCACAACTAATCACCGATCTGAACTGGAACCCAGATGCAGAGAAGGACGAGTGAAGAGCAAAGGGGTCCAGACAAGGCTAGTGAAACCCACAGAAATATCTGACCTGAACATCGGGGAGCTCTTGGTCCCCAGACTGATAGCTGGGAAACCAGCATGGGACTGATCCAGACCCCAGGAACATGAGTGTCAGTGAAGAGACCTCGGAAATCTACAGGGCCTCCTGTAGTAGTTCAGTACTTATCCCTAGCATAGGTGTGGACTTTGGGAGCCCATTCCACATAGAGGAATACTCCCTGAGCCAAGACACATGGGGGTGGGCCTAGGCCCTACCCCAAAGGATATGATAGACTCTGATGACCCCTTATAGAAGGCCTCACCATCCAGGGGGAGCAGAAAGGATATGTGATAGGTAGGGTTTTAGTTTGGGGGGCGTGGAAAGGGAAGAGGGGAGGGAGAGGGAACTGGGGTTGTCATGTAAAACAATCTTGTTTCTAATTCAAGTAAAAAAAAATCTGCAGAAAAAAAATTAAAAATATCATTAACTTTACAGTAGAAGCCAGAGTGATTAGCAAATAAAAGCTGTGAAGAAGTATACACAGCAGTAGCATAATCTATACTCTTAAAAAACTCTTAGAGCCAAGACTTTGAAGAGTGGTGGTAGCACAGAAGCAAAAGAACTCTTTAATTAACAGGAATTCTCACAAGGAAATTGGTCATAAATGGTGCATTATTGTTAGCATTCTTCTCTTGAATAAAGGGGGGTAATCCTATTGTGTCTACTTTAAACTTACAGAAACGAATTCAGAAAGGTTGAAAACTTGCTCCAAATGACACACATAAAAAATGTCTTCTGTGGTCAGGTGGTGGTGTTGCATGCCTTTATCCCAGGACTCAGGAGGCAGAGACAGGTGGCTCCCTCTGTGAGTTCAAGACCAGCCTGGTCTACTGAGTTCCAAGATAGGCTGCAAAGCAACAGTGAAGCCCTGTCTCGAAAAGCCAAAAAAACAAAAACAAAAACAAAAAGTCCTGTATGGCAGATTTGGCTGATAACCTCTCCATCTGTCTTTTAGCATGATGTTTCTTTTACACTTTTGCCTGTGGAGTCCTCACTCTAGCCATTGCTCTATGTGTTTGTTGTCACATATTTATTTCCTTGACTTTAAGCTTTTTCCTGGGCTTCAAATCTCTATCTGAGCCTTCTACTTACCCAGTTGTCTAAACCTGTGTGCACCATCCAGTATATTTCTTCCCATAAATCATTAGACTTGACCTCCAATATTTAATAATAATAAAAATAGTGATAATAATAATGTGTGTGTTCCATGGTATAACTGGTTCTCTCCTACTTTTACGTGAGTTTTGGATGTCAAACTCAGGTTGCAAGGCTTTCAAGCCAGTGCTTTTATCTGCTGAGTCGCTGCCCCAAACTCACTTCCAATAGATTTGAAACCTGGCTCTTCTTTGTACTCCTAGTTCTTGATCCTTTCATAAAGGATGAAAGGCACCAAGACCTCAATCCTGTCTTCCTAGGGCTCCCATTTGCCCTGTGTTTCAGGCACAAGAAATCATTGTGTTTTCCTAAAAGTGTCATGGAAGAGGCATTTCTTTCATGCTCTACTTAATTCCAAGCGTGGACTCTTTCCTCTCCTGACCCTAATAAGTACTCCTCCCTGGGACATGGTTATGACAGTGAACAGGATTTTATTTCTGAGTACCATCTCTCAGTAAAAAATGTATATGTATACACACACACACACACACACACACACACACACACACACACACGGATATGCAATGACGATGTCTATTTTAGATAGTGGCTGCAAGAAATAAGCACATGAATACATGCTGAGTCCAGCACAACTGGGTCCAAGAAACTTGCCTGGGGCGACAAGGCAATGAAGAAATAGACGATGAAGAAAGAACAGATACACATACAGCAGACAAGCTGGAATCAGCTGGGTTATGCTGGCTCTGATAGACAGCATCTACTACACAATCTGGTAAGTTATTACGCACAACAGAATGAGGAGGGATTGGGGCTCTCAGTGGGAGGGCCCTATAGAAGAGCAGTCCTAGGCTCGAAATACCTGGCAGAGGAAGATGTTGTTGATGCTTTCTGTACACAGTCAACATTGGTACTTGGACTTGGACACAGGAAGGCTTTGCCATTTTCCTGATCACAACCTGGGGTGGGGGACTTTGTTATTACTGTGGGTCCAAGGCACTGGTTCCTTGACATGCTAGTGTTCATGTTAAAAGCACACATTTGGGGGCTGGAGAGATGTCTTAGTGGTTAAGAGCACTGACTGCCCTTTCTGGAGGACCTGTGTTCCATTCCCAGCACCCACATGGCAGCCCACAACTGTCTGTAACTCCAGTTCCAGGAGATCTGATACCCTCACACCAATGCACATAAAATAAAAAAAAAATTAAAGAAAATTATTAAAACACACACACATTAATGCAGTGGTGGTGCATGCCTTTAATCCGAGCACTCTGGAGGCAGAGGCAGGTGGATCTCTGTAAGTTCGAGACCAGCCTGGTCTACAAGACCTAGTTCCAGTCTCCAAAGCTACAGAGAAACCCTGTCTCGAAAAACCAAAAAAACAAACAAACAAACAAAAAACAAAACAAAACAAAAAAAAAAAAAAACAAAAAACCAACACACATTCACTCGGGGCTTCCTGCACTCCCAGCATCTCCCCGTTTCTTACTTCTTAGATATTTAGGATAAATCTTCATGATTAATCCAGGGCAGTTCACGATAATGCTCAGCACCACACTGTAAGGATGATTGATAAGGAAGATCCTAACAGCTGCTGTGTCCAACACAAACAAAAGGAATGTTTTAATGAGTTAAAGGGAAAGAAGCCTTGAAACTCATCAAGGATCATTTAAAAAATACTGGCAAGAGAAATGGTTTCATGATAGGCCTTTTGCATTGCTAGGATGTGCTGACATAATTGGGCCACATCCATGCTATCATTATTGGGAATCTAAACACCCAGCTAATTCCCGAATATATCAT